AATGCTCTTAAAGAGTCCCATAAATCTGAGTGGATGATATTAAGTTGCAAGGTTATAAAAACGTTGTGTGAAATGGAAGCTACTGCAGTTTCTTGGTGAGATGGTCTGTCAAGCAACCTTCAAAATTAAAAATAATTTTGGACAAAACAAAAAATAATTGATTCTAATCTTTTCAAACAAGAGCCCTTGTTTATGAATGAATATTTGCATATCATATATTCATCTGCTAAAATGTCAGAGTTAAAAAAAGCAAAAAGGACAAAAGTACAGAAGGCTGGGGCCTCTAGCATGTCTTACGGTTGAGGATGCAAATCCCACCACTAGTATGTACAGTAAAGGCAACAAAAGTGTATTTGATGATTCAGCTTGTTGGAGCTATTGAGAATTACTGACATTAAAATAAGTATACTTGCACAGGAATTTGGATGTGCTTTGCAGATCAAATTACCAGTTTGGACAAAAAGTGATCACTGTCAGTATTGTGAGTAGTAGCTGTAATGATAATAACTGTAAAAGCAAATCCAACATTTTGTTGCAGATGTTGATCTTTCCTCCCTCCCTGTCCATCCCACCATCCTCAAGGACTTCAGTTTGATTGCTGGGGAGCTGCTGAGGGATCAGAGTCCTCACGTTCTCCATGTGATGGGAAACCCAGAAGCTGCAAGAGGACTTGGAGGCAAGGAAGCAGAGGAAGGGGAGTGAAGGGGGAGTCCATGAGGACCGGCTGCTGCTTGGAGACAGGACACACAGCAGGGAAGGATGACAGCTCCCCAGCTCACTGGACACTGGCCGAGCTTTCATCCACTGTAAAAATACTAACTCGTTAATCTGTTCTTCCCAGCACGCCTTGCTTCGGACCCATCCCATCCGAGTTGCTCCCCTTCGCAGCTGCCTCGCGGCTCACCCACGATGATGTCATCCATCAGCCAAATGGGCCGAAGCGGAGGAATGAGGTAATTGCTCGTGCACAACCAATGGAAATACACCAGGCTGTGGGGGGAACGGCTCTGCCTCCTGAAAGGTGAGCTGCACCACCTCGGCCCCAGAGAATGGTCTCTTTTTCCATGTCTCGACTAATTCACAGGGCGGATTACTTGCTTTAAAAAGTCCCATCTGCTATTGCTTTCACTTCGAGAATATAAGGAAAAGTAGAACAGAAATTTTTAATGACATAACATCATCACTGTTGGTGATTGCGATCACAATTTCTTGCCTTAGGAATTTGTCTTGGCACATACAGTACCCCAGCTTGCTCTCCAGGAGACACAGACAGGGAGAGAGCATGGGGTCAGAGCACAGGGTCAGCCATTGCACAGCACACCTGGAGCAGTTGGGGTTAAGGGCCTTGCACAGGGGCCCAACAGAGTAGGACTCCTCTGCCAGGTGCAGGATTTGAACCAGCAATCTTCCAGCCACAGGAGCAGATCCTTAGCTCTCCTTAGCCACAGAGCCACCGCTCCACCCATCTGAATAGCTGAAGCTAGTAAAAAACCAAGAACTTTATCTAAAAGACAGTTTCAACATAGATTATATCACTTTTTGCATAATTATATTGTATGTGTCATAGATAATGAGCTATAGAAAGAAAGATAATGTACAGACAATAAGATGTCAAACATGCAGTTAGAAAAGAAAGCTCCTGACAGATTAATAGCTGCTTGGATGAGTAGAAAGGCAGTGCAATATAGATCACTGTTTGAACAGTAGCATTGGTGCAGGCAACTTGCACATATGCAAGGATTGCGTAAAGCTAAAGTTTTCCAGGGTGTGCATGAGTTGTTTTCCTGATTCGCAAGGAAAGTATGACCTTGCCTTTAAATGGTCATATTCATAGTTTTTTTCCTAATGACTTTCTTCAGGAGAGATGCTGCTCATTCGCCATCTGTGAGTTTCAGACACCACCCCAGACATGGCTGGTCTTTGATCACGATATTGATTTATTTTGTTTCCTTATAAAACCACATGGAAACAGGTACTGTGGGGAAGTCGACGGACACTGGAAGAGGTTTCAGTGAAAGAATTTGTTTGTTGAGCGGTGCCCTCTTTAGCGCTTTACTGGCGCTGTCTGCAGTTTCCCTTCTGTCTTCCTCACTTCAGCAGCTCAGTTCCTAATGAGTGCAGCAGAGGGATGAACTATGTAGAGAGCATTTGGTGTGACTCGTCTCTAGGCGACGTGAGGATAAAGCTGCCCAAATCTTCCTCACTATTGGGGTGCAGATGGGGTGGAGGGGGGGTGCGAGAGAGATTCCCAAAGGGAAATCTACATGTGAGACTAATTCACATGGCCGAGTGGAAGTATGTGAGATTCAGATCTATTTTATCTGCTGCTCATTTGCACTTTTGGGTTTCCTTTGTCTCACAAGGATTGTGAAAGATTGTAAATTAAGTGCCTGTGATTCTGAAGTCCGCATTCTATAGATCATGCAGTGTTTATGTTTCTGTTAAAGCAGGGGGAAAGAAGAACACCAGTGGTCTAAAAACCACCATTCACAAGAGAACGGTAACTAGAAGCTCAAAATATCAAGCGTCCTTCAAAATTTAAAATAATTTTGGAGAAAAAAATAAGATTGTAGAAAACGTTATCTAACAATAAGAGGTCTTAATTATTTATGCATATTTGTATAGATTTTTTACACAGATTGATTGACCTTGGCCAAACATTGCACATTTTCTATTACACTGAAGATAGGGTACTCAGTTAATCATGCAAATCTGAAGAAACATTTGTAAATAACTTACAAAACGTAAATTAAAAAGAATTAGAATTTTCCAGGGAAAAGTAAAGAACTTTAACACACATTCAGGGAAATTGCACTTTGGCTAAAGTATCTCAGCTAGAAATGTATTTATCAAAGAGGTCTTATACGTTGGTTCTGTGTTTTAAATCTATTTAAATGCTACTGGAGCTTAAGAATAAGTTAACCACTGAAAAATCAGGAACCCCACTGGAAGTCTGCAGGGCTAGAGTAATTGTTAGACCTCCTTGTCTGTACTGTCGCTAAAGTAATGAAAGCTAAATATAATTTAAATGTACTCTATGTGTTTTTTAATATTGTATTGCTATAACATTGCTTCCCATTGCACATGGGAAATGAAATACTGAAATGCTAGAACTCTGTCAATGTAATTTAAGAAGTTAAACACTGTTGCCATGGAGCAAACAAAAGATTCTGGGAAATCAAAATGGATCTTTTGTCATGGTATAAGAATTTTATTATGTCCAGCAGCAATTTCTCAAATATTCTTGGAGGGAACTGCACCTGGGCTGAACATAAAAGCATGATGAGGCCAGGACAAAACAGCAGCCAGTCTAGACTGTTAGGAAACACAAATTAGTAGCGGCCATCTAACTCTAGTGAACTTACACATGTTCTTGCCAAAGTGCTGTAACTGAATGTGAGAATTTAAAAATAACATTATAACCTTTTCTATTGGACAGTTATTAGAACACTAAAAACAACTCTTGTATTGTGAAATGACTGGACTAATCTAAAAGACACCAAAGTTCCTCTGCTCACTCCAGGAAAACAATATTGGGATTGCAGACGTTAGTAGATATCACATGACTAACATATGGCACCAGGCCTAGACATGATGTCAGTGCAGACTGAGACCTTCAAAAACCTGCACCCTGATATCCTTACCCTTTGAGGTTAATTTGCTTGTTAATGTTATATGTCACTGGTGGAAATAGTAATGTAGTGACACATTTGTGTGAAATAAACCCAAAAGCAGGCAGAGAAACTCTGGAGAACAGGCATGCATGGTACAGACAAACAAAGTCCAGAGTGTTACCCAAACAGCAGAGATTCAGAGCTGGGTAAACACAGGAGCACAGTGCCAAGGGAAATCCAAAAACACAGAGCCAAGGGAAAGAAGCACAGCCCATAAACACAGAGACAGAGTACAAAGCACGAGGGGCAAAATATGAAGAGCGAAGTCAGGGCAAAGCAGGGTCCAGAATCTAGGAAGCAAATACAACAAGAGCTCAGGAACTCGAAACGAAGCGTGAGGCGTTGTGAACTCTATGTTCCTGAGCACTGCCAGATCACAACTTATGTAAATTAAACCACCTGGGGTGGCCATAGTGATTGCTTCCAGGTGGTGCAAGACTCCTGTCAAATTAGTTACCACAGTCTCCAGCACTTGAATGACAGTTAATTGAGGTGTGTGAGACTACAAGGTAGATACTAGCTTGCCCCACCACTCATCCTTGGCAACAAGCACGAGTCTGATTATGGATATTACCAGAAGATCTCCAAAAGTTAGTTGAGTTTTGCAGACATGCCCACACTAATAACAGTGAGGACATTAGGCACAAGCCTGAAGAGTCCTTGGGGGGCTTGGTTTCAAGCAAGCAGACCATGCTTTTCATAATTCCAAACTGGTGTCCTATTGGACACAGGATATGAAATAAATGAAGAAAGCAAGATGTAAGTAAAGCTATATAGTTTATTTAGTACGAATAACTCTTAAATCTAGCATTAAAATACAATAATATTACATATTACATCATCCCCACAACCCCTGACCACCTATTAGCCTATGTAAATTACACAATTTGTAATTGCGTGGAACACCAGAATTACCATTTCAAGAAGAAGTGTGGAGTCCTGAGTCACTTACATGACTGTAACAAACTGGGGAGATGTTAATACGAGAGGCACATGTTCAGCTCTTAACCTGAAGAGGTCTCATTATGACTGACTTTTTGAAAATGCCTCCTGTATTTTCCGAGAATACGTGTACTTTCACAATTGTTTATATCAGTGCACGAACGGTTGAAACCTGGAAATGCACAAGATTTCAACAACAGGCAACATGTGTAGTTCTAGCTGCAATAAGCCTAATTTCAGATGTGCACGTTACAGGAGCAGCTAGTGAGCCAGAAGAACAAAGGCAATATGCTTGAATTACTACGGTTCCTGAAGCATGCCTGTCAGACTTGTATTGCAGAGCTTTGAGTGCTTAGAAAGAGTCCACAACATGAATTATGGTCATGGACATCTTAGACTAAAATATTAAAGGTTTGCATGTCCTGAAGAGCTTTTTTTTTATTCTCACTTTAACCATGGATTTACCAAACATTTGCTGTGTTTTCCTATGGGTTCAACATGCCTTCACTGTGCATTACTACACCGCACCCTGGGAATACCATAGGTTTTACTAGGAATTGTTAGCATTAGCACACCATGATCTACACAGGGATGGAGGCCCTTGTTTGTGAAAATTAAGCAACTTAAGATTCAAAATGTGAATACTTAGTATCTGTGTTTGTCACTGTCCTTACCTTACAGGACTCATTTGCTCACATTTGAGACCCCAAAAGCTAAGTGGAGAACACGTTGCTCACACCCTGCATTGTTTAGATTACAAGCGCCGTGCAAAACAGAGAGCTTCATGGAAATGACCTCTACAGGGATGCTGCGCAGCAGTATTCTTGTTCCAGATGTACTGACTTGGTGCACTGACAGTTAGCATGTCATAAAATGTACATTTGTAGCATTGCTATAATACATTTATTTACAGTATCTGTAAAGTCTTGTCATACAGAAGCACATGCTCTACGCCCACTGGTTTCCCACCAGTGTACATCTCCTCGACTGTGACTTTCTGTTATGAAAGCATGCCATGCTTTGCTATACTTTATGTCTTACCATGTCCCTGAACTTTTTCATGTTTTTACCATAATTTCATAGTGTTTCCCTGGTTTCATTGTGGTCTTTCAAAATATTTTAGAAGAATCAAAACTTTCACAACAGACCACCCTGAATAATGCAACACACAAATTTGTTTCCTGGATGCAATTGGACGCAATTTAATTTGCATTCATATTAGAGTTTGAGTATATACTAAAGGGGACCAAATTGAAGCATTCTTTCCTGTAAAAACTCATAGGACATACTTGCTTAGTTAGTTAACAGATGTGAAGGTTTGTGCATGTTATGCTTTGTGCCTTGTGCTACAGGTATTCTATTTCCTTGATATAAAGTGCTCGGACAGAGTATCCCTGCTGCTCTTGATGCAGGAGCAGACTGGGGCTGGGTCAGATGAAGATGTTGCTGAGCACGCGGAGACACAGCACCCAGTCAGAAGGCAGCTGGTGATAGCTGAGCGGATTGCCGTCCAGACGCAGGACTCTCAGGTGCGAGTAGTCCACCGGGCCCACCGTCCTGCAGAAACTGGTCATGTTGACCTCTGGAAGACAAAAGACAGTTTTAAGAATCATACTCTTCCCTGTCCGGCCATGTCAGCCATTTTACTGTACTTTTACTGTTCTCCACTGTCTGGTCTTACCAGCATGATTGCATTGAAAATTGAGATACTTTGAACTTTAAATTTTCCCTTTCCATGAGCTTGAGCACTTTGTTATAGAAGCGCTTGCAATTATAATCTTGAATTTTGCTCAGCGATACAGTGTGACATTTTTATAAGCACATACAAGTGGAAACTTATGACAAACTCGCACTCTGACTCAATATTAATCAAACTGAACATCAAGAAAAAGGCAGACTGTTCTTACTGCATGGTTCTTATAAGGAGCCCTTATTTGAAATGTAGAAGGATGTGATTGGAAAACAACAAATGAGACACAGGTGCATGGGGCCTGCTTTTCAGACAATAAAAATCTCAGTCAAAGCAATGAACATTGGTGAACCTCGGTGCTGATCGTAAGGCATCCTTCCCTGTCTGAGACAGACCGGAATCCTCAGCTCGGCAGCCAGGAGAGAGAAACAGAATGTGCCTGTGAGTGAGCTAACCACAAGCCACAGTGCCGGGTGGCAAGATCCTTTGCCAGCTTCCTCTCTCCTTCACCTCAGTCAATGGCTCAGACTGTGTTGTCACGTCTTCTGGATCTCCTCTTGGAAAAAAGCAGGCACGAATTCCTAAACAAAGTCTCTGGAATCAGAAGCTAGACCTAAGATCTTTCTAACCACACTGCTGAGGAATACTGGTCCCTTTGTTGGAAATCAGTGTACCTGTAGGTATTCCTTGCAGATCTGAAAAGAAATTCACATGAACAATGGCTTCTCCAGGTTGTACAGCCCCTGAAAACATTTATACAATCGGTTTGCTATTTTTCAGTGGGTTCGCCTGCTTATGCTCGTAATCTGCATTGACTTTCCCTCATATCATGGTCTACCACAGCCCTTCACTCACTGGAATGATTACACTGCACTGTTATACAATTTACCACACTTTTATTGTGGTATACCAAAGTTGCTTTTTACATGTTAATATGTGAAAGGCAAAAAATGAGGTAGTCTTTTCTCCATACAGTCATATTTCAATCTCGGCAACTCGGTTTCAAGTACAGGACAGAGAAGCACCACAGAATCACTCTTTACAGGACAGAGAAATGAGATCAGCTTCTTTCACTTCAAACACTGAACTTTAAAGAAGTCAATCGAACACTTCCTCTGTGTCTTTGGGAGAAAAGAGAAAATCACCTAGAGAAAACTTACAGCATGCAAGCTCATGGAGTTAAAGTTAACAGCAACACCAAAATCACAGCGAAGTCCCCTGAGCACTAATCACAGTGTTGCTATATTGCCTGACCACCATACCATGTCTAAAAGACAATGATCCATGAGATTAGAAAATGCAGTCTTTACTTGTTACTCACAGTACCATAAAACCAAATTGTGGTTTGTTTCTTCTATGCTCACTATCACTGTACAGCACAAGAACAGACCAGCCAGAAATTGGAATTCTGTCATTTTTTGGACCGTTGCTAGAAAAAAACGTGCAGTTGGCCTGCAAGGCAGTCCCTGGTAATCTCCATGCAGATGTTTTCCGGCAAATTCCCAGCGATGATGTGGTTTAATTCTGCTACTGCCATAGTTTCTCACTGATGAAGAATAATCATCAAGTCAATCAGGCATGGTGGGGGTAGGTCTGAGATTCTAATCACTTTTTCCATGATTGCCGAGTAGAGACGTTCTCACACAATGGGTCTTTAAGCAAGGGTTATTACTCCCTTCAGCTCAGTTGAACGTTAAGCATATCTTGCAGCACCTCTACTTTTACAAAATAAAAAGATCAACTTTATCACTTAATGCATAAGAGAGATTGTGCCCCTTGATCACTTCATGTGTTCTCAATAAAACTAACACCTTGCATTAACCAAAAGGTATAATTTTGTGTTGGAATTAACTACCGAGCCTGTGTTCTGGGTTGTGCCCTAAACATACTGTATGACTAGGGTGCCTCATACTGTGCTGTTATCCCTCGGATTTCACAGTAATGATATCCAGATGTTTTGTGAATTCTACATGCACTGCAACATTCAGTCACGTGAAGCAGTGTAGGAGGAACTGAGCGTCTTAGGCAAGAATTCACACCCATCCTTTAAGGATCCAAGATTCCTGTGCCTTATCCACAGTGGATATGACAAGACATTTAACTTGTTCAAACAGCAGCCAGCCATGTTGGCTACAGCAAAGCTAAGCTAAGCACCAGCTATTTCATCATTGTCACGACCAACAGCCAGCGAAGATCAACTCACAAAAGAACTAACCAGTACCAGCAGCGGGTTAATAATAACAAGCGCCGCTGCACGTGTTAATCCATCAGCACACCCTGTAGCGTGCGGCAAGCAGCACTATTTAAACCATCCTAACCCGCTTCCCGCTGCTCGGTATTGAGTCTTCTCTTTGAGAGCTCTTCCTCGCATTTACGCTCACTCACTGGTAACTGAACTCCCTTTTGTCTCTCGACCTTGAACCCCACCTTCTGTTCTGGATTGTTTGCTTCTCTCTGTACTTCCTGGATTTTGATCTACCTTTCGCCTATCGACTACAATCTCGCCTCACGTTCCAGATTGTTCCCCTGTCTCAATATCTACTTGCTCTGCGTCTGCACAGGATCTGTATACCTTTTCATTGAGGATTCCTGACAATCATGTTATAGGCTCAGGACCTTGGTAAATGTCCTTGCCACATATCTATTTTACAAGACCCAGAAATATCAACTAACACTTAAATGGAGCTGTGGACTTAATTTAAGTGGATCCAAAATTCTGATTCATGCATTTGTCATGGAGTTTCCTTTTCAACAGGAATACTCAGTTGACCCTGTTAATTGCAATTTTAATAAGAACAACAAACTGCTATGGACAAGTTGAGTAACCCCTCACTTTTGAATCCAAATAAGTGATTCAGCCATTGCATGTGTCATTACATACTTTGCAGCCATGTGCAGCACCACAATGAAGTCCATGATACATTTAAAATGCAACTGCATAGTGAATTAAATGTGCAATGTGAGTGTCTGCTTCTAGAACATGATGGAGGACAGGATTCATCAGAACCTCTCTAGGGATGCAAGATGTACCCAAGGCCAAGGGTCTTATGATGTGAGCAAGATGGCAAAGCCACACTGGCTTGTAACACTGCATGTAACCTCAGCACCAATAACTACTTTACCTTGGATGAGATTAGCCTGTAAGTAGAGATACTGGAGAGTCTCTGACACTACGGGAACTGAGGTGAGCTGGTTATAGGAAAGGTCAAGCTCGATAATGGAGGACATATTGAAGACGTTGCTGGCAATGCCTTTGTCCTGGAGCCTGTTGTGGCTGATCCTCAGGTACTGCAGATTGCCAAACCCTATCAGGCTCCTTTCCTGCAGGACGCTGAGGGAGTTGTTGGAGATATAGAGCTGCTGGATGGATGGAGGCAGGCCTTCTGGAAATTCTTTCAGCTGGTTGTGGCTGAGGTCGAGGAGAATGACGGACTGCAGACCTGCCGCAATAAAACAAAAGAAGAGAGAACACCAAACAAAACTCACAAATTTTAAGGATTAAAAACGCTTTTTGGACCGTGAATCCAAAAGAAGGGAGGAAATGGTCTGTTTAAGCTCTTGAAAAATGTGCTGGCTCATTTTCTTATGAAGTCAGTGTTGGACGCTCAGATTTTGTTCTGAAAGCTTTGGACTGGTTTATAGGTGCGATGGGAGAGATCTTTCCACTATTAGTCTGAAGCGAAATGTACTCACGGCTCATGAAGACGTAACGCTGTTCACAGGCCAGGGAAAAACACAAAAAGGGAACGGATCCAAATTCCACTGACCTTTGAAGGCCGCCTCTCCTATCGTCTGCAGCTGGTTGCCCTGCAGCAGCAGCAGTGTGAGGTTGCGCAGGTTCCGGAAAGCTCCGGGGGTGATCTTGCTGATCCGGTTGTGGGCCAGCCGGAGCTGCAGGAGGCCGCCGGGCAGCGGGGAGGGCACGTCCGTCAGGTGGTTGTAGTTGAGGAAGAGGTTCTCCAGGTGAGGCAGCTGCGCCAGGGCCGTGCTGTTCACCTGGTCGCTGGCGAGCTGGTTGCGGTCCAGCAGCAACCAGCGCGCCAGGGTGGCATTAGCGAAAACGCCCGCCGGCAGGCTGGAGATGAGGTTGCCCTGCAGGAACAGGTACTGCGTCCTTGGGGGCAGCGCGGGCGGCACGGCCTTTAGTCCACGGTGGTCGCAGTAGGCGGCCGAGGGCCAGTGGACGGGGCAGTCGCACTCCAGCGGGCAGGTCTCTGTGTTGACCGCACGGTACCAGCTGGCGTCCAGGCGGCCCCTCAGGCTCAGCACGCTGGGCTCCCCCAGCAGGCGGTTAATCATGACGGGTATCCCACCATAATCATAGTCGCTGTAGCCGCCCAAGCACTGGCGTATGCCAACCACAGAGAGGCACAGCAGGAAGGTTGGTAACCCCATGGGAGTTTTGCGTGGATGTGGGTACGGAGTTGGCTCTGTGAAGACAAACCAGGCCTTTAATGATGTAAAACGTCCACTGAGATCATTAGATACAGTGGATTTAACCCCCTGGACTGTGCTTCTGAGGCCCTGTATTTGGGCCCCTTAAATGATATTTTAGTTTTGGATTTTTGTAATTTGTTGCACAAATAAATAATTAGTTGTTTTTTTTTCTGTAATGGTCACCATAATTGAGCGTAGTCAGGATTTTTTTTTTCTAATTCCTGAGCTAGAATCTCATTGAGCCGTTTTGTAATTAATACAACAAGCCTTAATGTGATTGAAAATACTCTAGTTAACAGTTTTAGCTTAGTTCCTAAAATTTATAAAATGTTCTCACTGTTATTATATTTATTTTGCTACTGCTGTTTGTTATAAAATATAGAAAAAATAAAAAAGTAAACTCATTATTTATCTAGTAAATTTATGGAAAAGATGTACTGTAGCTTGTTACCATGTTACATTTCTAAGTATAGTATACATTTACATAATCCTTCAACATGTATTAAGTAAAGTAGCAATAGTGTAGAAATATGATGATTAATATGATTGAATATGATTTTAAAACTACATTTTATTAAATTTATTTTTAATTACATTTTAATACACTTTGGCCTATTGATAGCGCCACCACAAGCAGTACCTGGTCCTTATCAGCAGCTACATTAACCATTTCAGGCTTTAATACAATGTATCTCCACACTTGACCTTCAGTAACACATACACATCCATTCCATAGCTGGGAAAACAGGTCTCAATATTGCCAAAATCTGCCATAAAATAACAGCATAATGGGCCTTGCAAATAATTCCTCGTAAATCTGTTTCATATTAATCAAAAGCAAAGATACTGCCATCAATTTTAACTGTCTTTATAGGGCATGAAAAAATGTTTTGCGACACCAGACACATATTTTTCATATTCCGTTTTTTTCCATCTCTCTGAGCTGGGTGGCCTGGACTTACCTACAGTAACTCTGCCATCTCTTAAGCAATCACTTTTTTGTCTGGGGACTCATGAATATTCCGCTTTTTAAACATCCCAATCCTCTGCCCTTTGCCTCTTCGCCCTCGTCAGTAACAAGACAGGTTTTGGAATTTAAAAAAAAGTGGCTTTCTCAAGCTGGAGGGGTGAGTGCCACAGGCAAAGAAAATGAAAACATACCTTGATTGCTTGTGTCCCTTCCGTAAAAAGCTGCTTTCTCTCAGGGCTCCTGTTCCCTGGTTTCCTCCCTGTTTTTCTACAGCGTTTCTGGCATTGCGCTGCGGGTCTGCGCGCTAGGAACCTGCACAGTATTTACCCTGTGACTGAAACATTCCACATCCTCGTATGGCGAAGGCCCCAGACTACTGATGCCTTTTGATATCCCTTCCCATATTGAGGGATGCAAAAGCTAATGGTTTTCTTTTCCTATTCCAACATTTGGTAGGAATGTGCTTGCCAACAGAAAATCTCAGCTGCAGGAACCTGCAGGAATAAATCAATAAAGCAGAATAAAGACAAGAAAAGGACTGTTTTAATACTCACCTTGACTGGCTTCTAAATGTCAGAGTAGGTATCCGACATGCGTTTAAATAGTGAACAATCCTAAATCTGATTCGTTTTAACTGGGACAGCTAAAGAGGAGTTATAGTAGCAGATGGAAGACTTATAGTTTATTTACACGTATTTGTTATTTGTCAGGAATATGGAAAAACCTGCAGTTTGTTTACCGCAGCTGTTAAAGTTGTAGAAGCAGTTGTAGAAGTTGTTAAAGCTGTTCTAGAAGCAGCTTAGTCGGCTTTTGCCCCTGAGTTTCCTCCTGATACAATTACTACCCAGCAAACTACCTCTAAACCTGAAAGTTTTAAAACACATTGCAGCACCAAAGCTACAGAATACCGAAGCTGTTAGGACACTATATATATGCTGTATATAGACATTTCTGGTTTACCTGAAGTTCCACTTGTTAAGGTGGGTAAGGGGATGAGGTCCATATCTGGTGATCTCCTGGTTACATAGACCTGACCTTTGACCTTCTCTTTCTAATGTTCTGCTTCTGACATCTGTCTGGGTGTCAATATCCCTTCATTCTTGCTCCAGTAAGTCATTTGTTTATTTATTTTGCAAAACGTAGATCAGTTTAAGCCAGCACCCTGTGATGTTAGTGACGGCTCAGATCCATTTCTGCTGAGTCCTCACCACACCCAGGGAGTCTTCTAGGCTACACACTTGGCATGAATTAAAAGTGAGTTACATATATATATGTGTTTTGAAGCACCAGAGTCCCACCAAAAAAAGATGGAGCATGTACCCAACAGGAATTTTCAAAGAGAAACTTCTCAGGCTCCTTTCTTCATTCCTTTGATCGCCTTGAAGATCTGAAAGCACTTTTGCAGTTTCATCTATTGAAATCAGGATCATTCTAATTCTTGTGTGGTTCTAGCACTTATTTAGTACATATTTGCCCACCCCAAAGATACTGCATCCTTTCCCATTTTTCCCTCAGAGCTGAAAACTAAGACTTCATTTCTCCAGTGGACAAACAATGATGGGCAAACTGAACGCTCACTAATAAAATAGGCAACTTGCCCACAGTTTGCCACAGGGAAAATGTGGGGCTCCAAGTATCATTTTGCCTCCTAAATTTTCTAACCTCATTTCAATGCCTTACAGTAAAACACCTGTCAGAAAACAAGTTTGTTGACAGAAATTGCAGCGTTCATTATCTGTAGCTGTGAAGTATTGGATTCCAGATTGTCTGCAACTGAGCAGTCTCCCTTTTCACCACCCAGACCCTTATCTCCAGAATGACTTCTTAATATACTTAAAGATTTACATAAAATATTATCCTAACATTTGACTGCTCTGTCCTCTGGGCCGTGGAAACACCTGTTGGTCTTTCCTCTGTGACCCTTCGTTTTACAACTTGTTTCAGACAAATCAATCAGCTGGTCGATTGTGTGCGCTGGCTCACTGCAGACCCACTGTCTGCTCTTATTGAGACTGGCTGTAACTTTAAGACTGAACTCGACTTTGTTTTGGTAGTGCTGGGAGCAGATGGAATGTGACTTGTTATTGGAAGGCAGCGCAGGCTTGTGTAAAGACGATATCCCCATCACAGCTCCAGCATACCGGAGGAGTGCTTTTGAGCTGCCTGGCTGTGCAGTGCAGAGTGTTTGTAACAAGCCCACAGTTATGAAAAAGGCCTGGGGAGCCCAAGAGACCATGTGAGAAGTCCGGCTCTGCGATAAGAAGCTGCAGGAGGACTGTGAGAGACCTGCAGGCAGTCAGACATTGTGGGCCTGTGAGTGGCAGAGGAGAGGGGGAACGCACAGCTGTGATCTGAATGACCACAGCGCCCCCTTCAATAAACACCCCCAGGGGGTTCAATCGGTTCTGTTTCTTGCACACTGCATACTGCACAGAAAGGCAATCACCCTTGAACTGGATTAAAGTGTTATTAATCAATATTCATCTTTGTTTGAGCCAAACTATTTTCTTTGGAAATGCGGCATTTTAGAAAGATAACTCAAAGTTTTGGGCCTGTATTGATTAATTGACATCGTGGTGCGCACACCAATTATCTCATAGGTTACCCTGACCATTACTGGGATTTAATAAATTGATTATTATCCTGTAAAATCAAGTAATAGAATCCCACTAATTTGTACTTCCTACCGGCAATTATTGTAATGAGTATTTCCTGGATTTCCAGGGATTTTTGACTGCATCTATGAGGTGCAGTAGAATGAATTCACCAATAGGTGTCCTTCTTTTGTCTTTTATGAGGTGCTCGTTGAAATGCAGCTTTATTCTCAGCCCCTAACCTCTGCTGCTCTCAATCCTGCTATTTTGTTAAATATAGCACCACACACCAGAAAAGACTCAGCTCGATTTCCATTCCAAGGAAAACAAGAAAGAAGCAGAGATCAAGAGATGTGTCCAAGACTTCTCACAATATCTTAGATCTGTTAAGACTCTTGAACACCATCCAGAACAAAATAAAGACGACAACGAGCAAATTATTGTTTGCCCATCAGATATCTTTCAAGGGCCGGTGGAGAAGGATCTCATTTGTATTTTTAAACAACTGTAAAATGGATTTTGAAGTAAGTATTGTCCAAGGAGTGAAAGATGAAAATATTTACTCTTGGTGTTGCCAGACCATAAATGACTTACACTATAGTTGTTTTTGAGATGTGTCAAATATTTCTTTTGGCATTATTACTCCAATATTTCACTCCTAAAGGAGTAAGAAGGAATATGGATCATATTAATTGTTCATAATTTAAATCGGATATTTTAAAACCATGTATTGAGTTTAACTTTCTTCAAAACAATGAGTTAATAAACAGTTGTATTGGAACGAGGAGACCAGGTGTCTTCATTTTTAAAAAAGAAAACATTAAGTTGTTTGTTGAAAGTCCAGAAGTGAACAAACAGTATTTTTAAATACATAGTTTTATTGTGTTAAACATATACCCGTAAGAGAGGTTTTATTCTTAAAAAAAACGAGTGCAAATAATCCATTCAAGTCTAAAATCTTTGGAACTGGGCCCCTTTTACTAAACAGGTTTCTCTTTTTCAGAAGCATGGCCTGCAGCCCGAAAAGTCAATGTTTTGATGTCTCAGTGCTGAATGGAAACAGGCACAGCAGCCGAATCCCAGGAAAAAGCCCTTTCCATATAAACACAAGGAAATGAAGACACTTTCCATAGGTCTTCTGGATGGCTGAACAAAGACCCTCTGAAGCATGTGGCAAGGCTACCAACTGCTGCACTCAACCCTCTTCTGCCCAAAGCTCAACCAGCCAAGAGATGCAGCCTGACTTTCTCACTGGCGTTTAAAAGCAGAAGGTCAAAGACAGCTGTCAATCAGGTGAACCACACTCTAAAATGCAATTCACCAACATTTCGTTTCCACTTACTAACTAGGGACTGGGTGGCACAGGTGGTCATGGGGACTTGGGGACTCCATGTGCATGTTAATCAAGAATTGCAAAGTTGGTTTTACAATGAAACCCTAGAACAGTGCAATTCTGCACTTTGCTGCTAATTTGCTCCTTACAGGCTGAAACCCGTGGCAGCATGCACAGGAAGTTCTCCCTATATCCACAGCTGAAGCCTTCAGACTCTGATACTCTGTAAACAATGGTGGCCTTGCAGTGGGTGGGTGTCGGACAGAAAGGCAATTTCACTAAATGCTGTGTCTGACAGAGCACCTTTCTGTGTCTTTGCAAAAATTAAACTAAATTTCCCTTTACTGTGTTCATCTTAACAACTAAGGATTCACTCTTATGGCCCTAGGATAGTTTTGATTTCTAAACTGCCGTCAGTGCCTCCCACAGGATATTATGTTTAAGTTCTGGTATTACTGATATTCTTGTTGCTTTTTTAATCCAAATTTTCTTGCCAGAATAAAGGCCTCCCTCATAACTTTAACCCGTAAGTGGTACAGGTCAAGAGATCGAAATACAAACACAGGAAACATTATTTGTCTCCCAGTTTGTTTTCCTCCAGAGAATACAAAGATGTTTTATAAAACTGCAGCTCAACAGCACAGTTTAGAAGGCAGCTTGTGGGTTAATGTGCACAGCCACTGTCGGCCCTGTTAACTGTTGTGTTAAAAAACATTTCTACAGGCTCTGCAGTCTTGTTCTTCATGACTTCCATGTGTTACCTCGTTGGCCCTGGGTGTCTCTTTAGATCTTTTCTGCATGAAGAAATCTCAAACATCAGCACAAATACATATGCTTGTGTAACTCAGAATATAAAACCCCATTCATGAAGACAGAGGGGTATATTGCTGTATTTATAAATATTATGGTTGTAACCTCTCTCCTGCACCTCTCCTGCCTTGCCCCCCCTCTTCTCTCTGCCGAACAGTCGTTGAGGATCTTGTAGCTGACTCTGTACTGTGGCCAAGCCACAAGCCACTGTGGCAACACAAAGCCTCATGCCAGTCAGACAGCTTTGAGTCATGTACAAAATAACGCAGAGTTAGGTCATTATTTTTTTAGTTTCTTCTTAAATGCTTTAAAAGTGATCTACTGTGTCTCTTCTTGCTTTGGAACAAACAGACAAAAACATCAAACAACAACGCAATTAAATAATAAACTGTACCCTATGGACTCAAATATACAGTATGCATCTAACCATGGACGTACTATAGCTGAACCATCAGCCCAGTCTAAAAAAGCAGTTTTATGATTTATATAGGTTGTTCCATGGTAGTGTACTGAATGTGGTTTTGTCTTAGATTCAGAATTCCACTTCAGGAACATCTCCAAGCACCTAAATACAACCCAGACAAACCTTAAACCCTTAATGCCAGCAGAGCAGTACCTTGTTCCTGGTAA